TTTCAATGCAGTTGGGAAGGTGGTTAAGGGGGATCTGATCAAGGGTTTTTCAGGAATTTCACCTTAGTAGTAAAATTGGTACCTAGCATGAACTGGGCTTTCATTATACTAGTCACCTGAAAAGACTTTCCCTCACTAAGGGTTTCTGATTAAATAGCTATCAGTCTAATCACAAACATTTATAAGATTACTTCAAAAGTTCTTCTCTTTGGTTAACTAAAGTGGTCAAGGAGACTATCTCTATCCACTAGAGTGCTTTTGTTGGGGGAAGTAGATTTTTGATGCTTCTCTTGTTTGAGTAATTTAAAAACCAAACCTTTGCGCTTAATGTTTTTTCTGCTTTAGAAACTCTTAGCTTTCTTCCCTAAGCTCAAGACAGGGTTAAAAGAAAAGACTAAAAAAGAAAAAAAATTAAAAGCCAGTTTTTCTCCCTAATTAGTTGACATTATTTATTCTTGATATTAATTGGTTCATGGTTTATTAGTGCTTTATGAAAAAGGTTGAAATGGTGTTAAACAAATTTTATTTATTTGGATCATTCTATTACCCTAATAATATTGAGAATCAACCAGGGTATAATGCAAATTTGAGCAATGCCTAGGCTTACATAACTATGTGTAATTGAAATTGGGTCATGTCAAAATGCCTAGTTCCTACCGTTTTTATGCTTTTACCATGTGTTTAATATTTGTAGATTGGCTTTTTCAGGTGGAGGGTATGAAGAAGCTCTGTTCTGGTTCGATGGACAGAAGCCCGCCAAAAGAAACTCTATGGAAAATTTTTCCACATCGTTTATTCTTTGGTCGTGAATCGACATTTACCTGGGGTTCTGGAGGTGTTGCTTTCCTCCATCCAGAGACCAATCATCAGGATAAAACTTACATGTGCCTATATAGAATCACGTAAGCTACTTATGGTTTTGCTTCCATTTCTAAGTAGCTTCTTCTATATTCTTAGCAAAAACTTCAGTCTATCAGAATTCTTCAGTATAAGCCAATGATAAAAAGCAGAATCACATTGTTAGATTGGATTCTGGTTACATCCAAAAGTTAATTGAATTCTTTTCCTTGGACCGCTTCAACAGGCTTGAGCAGTTTAACGATATTCTACTTCAGGAAAATATACCAAGTCATGACATCTTGAGTTCACCCTTGTTTGATTTGAAGAACTTGAACTCTATCATAACCGAAGGGTCCATTTTAGTGGAGGCTGTCAAGGTAAACCATGGTTATTATGCATATTTCAAATAGTATTGCATCTAATTCTTTTATATTATTCCCTACAAAAATGAGATTTTTCTCTCAAGCTGTTTAGGTGACTTTATTTTTGTCATGCAGCGGGGCTGGTATCATAATGTTGTTTATTTGGGGAAAGAGCGCAATATTCCTATACTGACAATGACGTATGTGTGGAAGGACATCCCATTCTTTTGTTTTTCTTTCCATTTCCTCAAGTTTCACACAGATTTATTCTTAAGTAGTGAGTAATCTACATGTGTAATATTTGCATTTGTAATTTTATTGGTTTCAACTCAGGTGCCCACTTTCGCGTGTGGAAAGCTTCAAAATTGGGGAACTGCCCTTGCGTGCTCCTTCCAAAGAATATGCCTCCGTCTTAGTTAAGGGCCTGGTGGAAGGAGAACAGCTATCAGAAGAGGAAGCCATACAGTATATAGAGGAAGCTTCTGCTAAACCATTGTAACTTTTGCTTTTGGTTCCTTTTTATTGTGGAAATATGGTGTAATAGCTGTTGCTGGTGCAAGAAAAAAAGTTAGTTATTTTTATAATTCACGCGTTATGTTTAAAACTTACATCTCGAATTGGTCTCTATGCTACACCTTTATATCAATTCAGTCCAAAGACCATACTAGTCGCGGACTGCTGCTCAATGTGATGTGATTATCATGCGACTGAAATAACTGATAATAAACAAAATTGAAGCATCTCCTCCTCCCTCAAACCAGAAAAGGAACAAAAATTGAAGCATGAAGGGCAGATGTTGTACTTAAAACTTGTTGGGGCATTTAACTTTTGCACGATGCTTTTTTTGTAAAAATTTTTGTACCATTTCAACATGACCTGTCTCTACACATGCTTTCTACATGATACAAAAATATACTCCAGTAGTAATATTGCTAATATGCCTCCAACGAAAACATTACGTAAAGACAAAAATACAACATGAAACAAATTTTATTTGACATATTAATCCAAACAAAATTGAACTAATAAGAGACATAAAATGTTAATTTCATAGAAGTAAATCCTTCCTTGAACTTCAAATTCTAAATTTGTGATGTAACGTACAACACTTCATAAACATTGCAAGATACACATTGTAACATATGTCACATTAAAATTGATGCATAATCCCAATAGGGACAAAAAATTACAGCACACTTGCCATCAACTATCACAGCATATAAGCATAACATTAATTTTTCTCAAATTTTGAGAACACAGCATTCCTGTATTATTTGTATACTGTAAAGAATATCTAAGCATACAAAATTTGTGGGGTGAGAGGAGTTCATTTGGTGCACGCCTGAATCTGGCACTCATTTTGGCAAAAAGACATTGTTTGGTCCACATCTAACAACAACAACATGCTTCCCTGCTTCAAACCAGAACTTTGATGGTGCATGAATTTTTAACATCCCAATTGCAGATGCTCTTTATCATTTCCATTAGCCTGCTTCATGCATGCACCTTTTTGCAGACCAACCTCTAGTAGACATTCGCAAGACGATAACTTGCTCCTTCCAAGAAATTATAAATATTGGATTATCACCTGAATTTCAGACTAGCATGACCTGAGTCAGCCAAATGCTTGTGTAATTTGTTCCTGCCATAATAAACAGCATAGTAAGCTAACTCTTTCATCTCTCAAAAACAATGGTAACCGGAAAAGAAGAGAGAACACAGCAGCAACGATATCAGAGAATTGTACTAACCTTGATTCAAATTCCTCTCCACATCTATCACACATATTACTAGAATTTTTTGATGATCCCTGCACGACAAAACTTTTATTTTAAGAAGGAAAGTCCAAGACTAGTGAAATCAACAGATATGAAATGAGAGGAGATTAGGATCTTGAAGCTGCATGTTTCCTTGATGACACTGCTGGAAACTAGGTGCTCAATCTAACTTTATAAAATGCTGCTGTTTCAAACTGATTGACTTTCTTATACTGTAGCAGGAGAACATGGTCTGCTAGAGCTGTCCTACCTGTTTTAGGCTTTTAGACATGTATTTGAATCAGACTACTTTACACCCAGGCCTATAATTCTGTTGAGTTAATTTCATCTTTCTTATTTAACACTTCTCTTATTTTGCTGCTCATTGTAAAAGTACTTCCCTAAACACACTATTATCAGGCAATGAAGATTTCAATTAACAGGAAGTGAAGATACAACTTCAATTACTAACACAATCATATTACCGACTTCTGTTTCCTTTTTAGGGGACAGTTCGTGCAAATACTCCCCTTTTTCACTATAATAGGCTATACATAAATGACAAAACTTTTCCATGACAAACATATAAAGTTGGCGTGGTAGATGCTACCAATGAAGGAGAGAAACCAAAGTCTAACTTATTCTTACCTTCACTTTCTTCCCTTTTGATGAACCCTTTGATTTGGCATCCATATCTTTCTTCCTTGCCTCTTTTCTGCCAAGGGATTGTTCTGTAGCCTTGTGATTTCTCCCTGAATGATTATCCGTTCTTTTGTCAAAACTCTCATTGTCCATGGGAGAATGGAAAGAGGACTCCGTGAAATGTGAATTGCCATTCCCTTCTGTTTCCTGTTTCTGACACTTTCTTTCATTAACATCATGATTCACGGCAGCTTCCCTATTGTTTTGACCCCTCTCTTTCCTATCTTCATTGCCTTCAGTTTCCTTGTTCTGTTCCTTAGTTCCATCCACATCACTCTTGGTGGCAACTCCACTATTCCTTTTAACCCTCTCCTTCTTACTTCCTCGATTCTTCCTTGTGCTCTTCCTGTTATTATATTCCATAAAATCCAGTTCATCATTCACATTCTCGATCCCATCTTGAGTCTGCACAATCTCATCTTCATACTTTGAATCCATATCCTTCTTCCTACTCTTATGCCCAGATACCATGGGCTTCGAGAACACCCAATTCATCATCCTCATCATTTCCTTCCTCGTCATAAACCTATCTTCTCATCAGTCTCTGATCAATCCTATCCTCATTTTCCTCCCCCTCATCTCCCATCTCTAATCCCTCTCTAAACCTCTCTCTCAACTCATCCACATTTTCACTTGTCTCCTCAAACTCATCCATTATACCTTCTTCTTCTCTTTCTTCTTCGCTTTCTTCATCTTCATCAGCAAATGACTCCCTCAAATCTGCCAACTTCTTCCTGTGCTTCTTGGACTGTTCATGATTCTTCCACTGCTTCTCATTCTTGAATTTCTTCCCACAGACTACACAGTACAATTCTTTATCCTCATTCTCCTTCTTATCACTATCTCCCTCAAATTCTTCCAATCCGTCATCTTCTTCCTCAACCCTCGCCCACTCAGGCTCCTCATAAGCGCTCGCTCTCTCCAGTCTTTCCTTCTCCATCTTCTTCTTCCTCTCTCTCTCTTCCTCCTTCTTCCTCTCCATTTCGGCATTCCTCTTCGCAGCCATGTAGATCACTCTCTTATCCCTCTTCTTCACAAATTGCGCCAAACTTCTCACAGTGTCATTGTATTCCCTCCTGGCCTTCTTCCTCAGCTTTTTGTTCTCCTCCTCTATCACCCTTCTCGACTTCCTGTTCGGCCCCGCCATGACATCGTATTGGTCCACCCAACAGAAATCCATTACCGTTGTAAACCTTAACCAATAGTTATAAAACGCTGTTACTTGTTCATAAGGGCTATCGAGATTCCCCATGATCGGTGCTTCGCGCACTGAGTCTAACCCTAAACCTAGCTTCTTAACGAAATTGATCTCGTTTAAATAAGTTCTGTTGAAGAGGTCCGCATAGACTTTGTAGAAGCCTTTGCCAGAGTCAGAATAACCAGAAAAGACGGAAGTTGAGAAGTAGGAGAAGAGGTTAGGGATTATTGAGTTGGGAACCGAGTTAGAGGAAGAGTTGAGATCGGAGAAGATGATCTGGGAACGATGGGAATCGTACCAGGCGCGCTCTTTGGGATCCGAGAGAACTTCGTACGCCTGAGCGAGCTCCTGAAACTGAGCCGTCGCTTCAGCTTGGGACAAGCCGGACTGAACGAGCTTGTCGGGGTGACGTTGCAGAGCGAGCCGCTTGTAAGCAGAGCGAATCTCATCAGCCGTGCAGTCCTTCTGTAGGCCGAGAACCTCGTATAGGCATCGCTTCTCCGATGCCATTTAGGGTTACTTTCCTTCTTTGTTCGCTCCTCTGAAATTAGGAACCTTCAGCTAAAGACGGCGGCGACAGCTGCAATTTTATAAGGGCGGAGGAAGGCGAGGCCAGAGATGGAAACGGAAACCGAATAATTTATATTAAAATTATTAAAATATTAAGATATAATTATACTGATTTTTTTTTTTTTTTTTGCTTTTAAAGTAATTTTTACTGAAACTTTATTTTAGTTTTATATGTATAAATATTATGCTTTGCATTATCTTCGAGTTGCACTATCTTTTTTTTTTCCTCTCAATTTTTAATGTATGCTTAAAATTAAGCTAATATTTTCAAACTTAAGATCTTTTAAAAAATTAAATAATTTAATCTTCTGTGTGTAGATTTTGTTTATAGTTATTTTTAATTTATCTATATAAATTTAATATATATAATTAAAATATTAATAAATTTTAAACAGTATTCCAAAATATAATAGTAGTACGAATCATTTTAAAAAATAAAATAAAATATTTACTATTATTATATTAATATATTTGCCAAAAATTTATAACAAAAATTTAAGGGTAAATTCTGTTATATTTTAAAATTTTTTTTTCTATTGTTTATAAACTTAATATATCTCGATAAGATTTAAGAAATGTTCACAATCTTAAGAAATCACCAATTAAATAGCAACTCTTTAATTATAAGGCAGTGCAATGTGGACGCAAGACATTATTAATATTAATGTAGAAATATCACTCATGCTCAAGGCCAACATAAATATGGAGTTACAAGAAATTTTATAATATTAAATTTATTTGTATTTCATACGTTTGATATTTTTGTAATTTTAAAAACTAAATAATGTATAGATAAAGTGAGACAAAAAAATGTGATGGATTTTCAAAAGTTTGTCCCTTTTAGATTTGATACAAAAACCAACATTAAGTGTAAATCAAGAAAGGATATATTTAATTTTTTATGTTCGAAATTTTATTCAAGTAGATTACTTCCTACCTAAAAAGAATGTGCTACTATCCCATATTAAACATAGTAAAAACTGTTTAATGAGAAATTCTATCTATATTGTGTAAATTATCGTTGTAACGGCTCCGAAAGTTTAAATGAAATATATGTATTAAAAATTTCAAATGCGGAAGCGTAATAAAAATTTTAATTAACATCCCGCTATTAAACTTGCATTCATGGTACTTTGAAAAATTATACATATTTTATCAAATACAAAAAAAAGTGTGTGCTTTTAATCTATGACGATGAGACTGTTTGCAACACTGCTTTGATTGACATGTCTAAAGGAATATCTTTTTTTATTTTATTAATTTATGGCTTCAAACTCAAATGACACCGAGGAAAAGAAAATGTAATTTGATAAATGAGAATAAAGAGATGGATGAAGGAAGACAAACAACTGTTACTGTTTCTGCATAATTAATTTTGAATTAAATAAAACGTTAAAATGTGAATTAATCCCCCAATAAAACTTACCAACACAAGTAGCTCTAACAACGTGCATGGTTAATAATTCTCATCAGCTGTAGGAATCGGGCCAGTAAACTGGTTAGGTATTGGAACCACTTAAGAGTCTAATTTCTATACACAGTAATTACAGAAGAAATAATTCCATTCTCTAATCTTCCTCAAAGAATATATGTATATATTCCATTTTCAGTCAATGACTTACACATTATTTTTCTACTCTGACACTTCTTTTTGAGATCTTTACAAATAGAACTTTGTTTTATTTTCAATCAGGTTCTCCATTTTTCAAATGATTCTATGGAAAAAAGGCTGGTTTGGAGAGTGAAAACATACATACATCATACATCCACGTAATATACACGCACACACACATCTATATATATATATATAAATGTTACTTGCTCGTTGTTGGAATTATAAAATCACATTAATATGTAATATCACAGGGGGCTGGGTTGCATGACCACAATCTGCACATCATGAATAGTAAATTAGAAATCTAACATAGACGAAAGTTAAATTAAAAATCTAAAGTTAAATCAAGTCCAAAAAACATTCCAAACAAACCCCTAAAAATAGAATTAAAACAAACCTAATACTCAAGCTTAATATATTTTAGATTTCTAAATATTATTTAGTTTCTGAAAAAGATGCTGGAACAGACACAATATTGTCCAAGCTCGTCATGAACGGATGATGATCATTGTTATCAAAATGGTTAAAATGCTCGAGCCAAGAGAGATCATAGTGGACAGCCATGTCTAGAACAGATGTTGAGTCAAAGAATCCGGGAAAATTAACAGACTCTTCATTCTTGAACCGTCCTTTCATTGGAGAGGTATGTGCAGCCATGGGATCAGGCATCATGTATAAGAAGTTGGTATTGTGGGGATGATCAAGTAAATTAGGATACTCACCGAAGGGCACCTGAGGAGGAAAAATGATCTTCTTGTGAGAACTCATGCATTGATTATACATTTCAATTGGAGCATACTGATGAAGTGTACTAGCAGCAGGAGACATGTTGTAGACTTTAGATGCCATTACAATGCTGTCAGCTACACCATTTTCAATGGGGATTTGAGCAATATCATTATTTAGCTCTTGCACTCCATTTTGATATGGATTTATGCTATCAATCGCAACATCTTGTTGGCCATTTGAAACTTTATTACCATATCTACCAGTCTTCTTGTATATCTTACACAAAACCCAGCCATCAAGCTGCAAGAAGAAAAAAAAAAAGAAAAAAAAAACGTGTAAATATTAGGCTAGTGAATAGAAAACATTAAGTTGAAAGAAAAAATTTTGATACCCTCATGCAGTTTCCTCCTTTTTTCTTGTTGGAAGGATTAGTGATCTCATTTTTATCTTTATTTTCCTTGAAATAATATTCGTGCATGATCCAGTCAGTCTTACTGCCTCTTTGAGCTTTGCCACGATAAAACACTAAAGCCCTCCTGGACCAAGTCTCATTTTTGTTTCTGTAAATATCTTTATCAGCTCCAGTAGCTTTCCAGTAGCCATTGCCGGCGGCTCGATTTGGTCGGTCACCATTGCGGTACTTTCGATCTCTTGGACTGAAAAAATACCATTCTTTCTGATACTTTCCAATTGTGGGGAAAGTAGCTATATAAAAAATTTCACAAAATTAAATTGAAGTATGAAAAAGTAGAAGATACATAATTCTATACACAGAAAGAAAGAAACTTTTGAGGATCAAGAAGAAACTTTAACCTCCTTCCAACAAGAAAGATTAGTCCTTTACCATCAATCTTTCAATGAAGCCAATGATAAAACACATATTCGGCCTTGAATGCAAAAGGGTAACCATTAAATTCAGAAAACAAACTAAGCAAAACCACCAAGAGAATCATTGAATTCAGCAAACAATTTTTTGTACAGAAAAATCGAATTCAGAAAACAAATTAAGAAAAAGCACCAAGAGAATTTATGCTGCGTAATGTATCAGATTTAACCATTGAAGTCAGGAAATGAAGAAAAAACACAATGAGAATTGATGCTATATATATATGTAATATATAGATAAGTATATGTACATATAAATTACCAGATTTAACCACTGGATTCAGAAAATAAAACAAAAAAAAAAAAAGAAAGAAAAACACACATATAACACAAAGAAACAACCATTGATGCTGTAATATGTCAAATTCAAAATCAAAAAGTACATATATCAGAATAATTCACAATTAAAAAGTTAAAAAAAAGGTATAATTCAAAATTAAAGAGTAAAAAAAAAAGTTTCCTGTGTATATGCGTTCGTTTGTTCATGTGTAAATACGTGTATGTATATATATATATATATATATATATGATGCATACACAGAACCTGAAAGATCATCGGGGGTGAACTTGTATACTTCAACGTCCATGATCATATTTGGCGGAAGACGCATATTCTTGACTTTTGGACGCAGATAGTCTAACACAAGTTCTTCATCGTCGGGCTTGAAGCGATAACCAGGAGGAAAGGAGGCAAAATAAGCCTCAAGCTCGCCGTAATTATAAGTCTGATCTGCATGGTTAAGAAAACCCTTGTTCGCGGCTGCAGAAGAATCAGAACCATCACCAACTACGTCTACTGGGCTGTTCACAAAGGTTTTACTTAAATTCAGTTGCTGCTGGTCCTCCATGGTTAGACTTTGTTAAGTTTCTTTGAAAAATAAAAACAGTTTTGGCGGAAACAAGATTTGCACTGTAAATTATATAATATGGGGGAGGAACAGATTTTTTATCATTATTTTTCTCTGAGGAGATAAATTAGATTTGTATTTAAATAGATAAATTAGAATGATATATTTTTTTAATAAAATATTTTATTTTTTTAATCTTAAATGATAAGTATTACAAGATTGTTTCAATCACATATATATATATATATATATTTTTTTTTTATTGCTATCTAAATATAAATAAAATATCTAAATAATAAATCTTACCCCAGTTTTTTTATCTTTTTTTTTTCTTGTAATAATAATAACAGTAATTATTATTATTATTTTCATATAATAAAAATTAGAAAATAACTTATATTAAATTTTCAATTGTTAATAAATAAGTCACTTTTAAGTTTCGATTCTGGTTTGATTTAATTAGATTCTTCTCCGTAAAATTTTATAAATTTAACATACAAGAAGGATTTGATAATTTTATTTTGGATGCTGAGCTTGGAGAGATCCCTCTGCTCAGTTCATCATCTACTCTACTAGTTCGGTGAATCTATTTATTCTAATCTTGGGTTTTGAACATTTTATCATTTTTGTCAACTTCAATCGTTTATTTGGGGAAGGACTTACATTGACAGGAAGTACGTGTAAAAGGGCATTCCATTCTTTGGATCTTCTTCCTGTTTCCTTAAGTTTCAAACATCAGATTATTCTCTTCCGTTTCCTGTGCTGACTGTTGGTTCATCTGATGATGTAATTGTCATGTTTGCATCTCCTCCACCCTCAAACCCAGAATAAGAACAAAAATGAAAGTTTGGAAAGATAGAACTCATACTTGAGAAATGGTTGGGGGCATTTAGCTTTTGCTCAATGCTTTTTTCATAAGAAAAGTTTGCACCATTTCAACAAGATCTTCCCCTCCACATATGCTTTCTAAATGAAACAAAACATACAATCCAGCAGCTAGAGTACAAAAATGCTCTGGAAAAAAACATTACTCCAGAACAAAAGTACAAAATAAGACAAATTTCTTTTGACATATTAATCGAAAAAAAAGGGTAGGCTAATGGTTGATGTAAAATGTTAATTCGATGAAAGGAGACTCAAATCCTTCATGGAACTTAAAATCCTAACTTCGTGATATAACTGTCAACACTTCATAGAACATGAGATGATTATGTCCTCATTTCCTCCAAAGGGAAATTAAAGAGGATTACATTCATTATGCCTTGACGGTATGGATGACCTCTACTTTCTCTCCGTACCTCATCTAGTTCATCACTGCAAGATATACACCAGGATTTTAATCGCTAAATTAGAATATAAGTCACATGAAAATCAATGGATCATCCTTAATAGGGATAGAAAAATTACAGCATAGTTGATATCAATTATCACAGCAGGTAAGCATTCCATTAATTTTTCTCAAAATTTGAGAATTGAAAGAAGATTAAGATGGTAAGCTGCACATTTCCCTAATGACACTGCTGGACGGTAGGTGCTTAGTTTAAAACTAAATCACTTTCTTATACTGTAACAGGAGAATATGGTCTGCTAGAGATGTTCTACCTGTTCTAGGCTTCACAATATGTAGTTTACATACATGGTTAAATCAGACTACTTTAGATTCTTGCAAACTGAGTTCTGTAGCACCAGCCTGGGTTTACCATTCTATGGAGTTAATTTAATCTTTCTTATTTCCACTTCTCTTATTTTACTTTTTGTTGTTAAAGTACTTCCCTATACACACCATTATCAGGCATTGAAAATTTCAATAAACAAGAAGGTGAACGTTCAACTTCAATCGCTAACACAATCATATTACTGACTTCTGTTTCCCTTTTGAGGGACAGTACATTCAAATACTACCTTTTTCACTGCAATAGGCCATATATAAATGACAAAACTTTTCTATAAGACATATTATGAAGTTGACATGGTAAATGCTTGTAATTAAGGAGAGAAACAAAAGTCTATAGTATTCTTACCTTCACTTTCTTCCCTTTTGATGAACTCTCTGATTTGACATTCATATCTTTCTTCCTCGCCTCTGTCAAGGTATTGTTTTGTAGCCTTGTGATTTTTTCCCAAATGCTCACACATTTTTTGTCGTTAATACTCTCACTGTCCACAGGAGCATATGAAGAGGACTCTTGCCATTCCCTTCCATTTCCTCTCTCTTATACTTACTATCATTAATATCATGATTCACGGCAGCTCCCCTACCATTTTGACCCCTCTCTTTCCTATCTTCTTTTTCCTCCAGTTTCCTTGCGCCATTCCTTAGTTCCATCAACATCACTCTTGATGGCAACTCCACTATTCCTTTTACCCCTCTCCTTCTTACCTCCCTGATTCCTCCTCGTGCTCTTCTTGTTATCATAATCCATAAAATCCGCTTCATCACTCTCATTCTCAATCCATCATTCTTCTTCTTATCACCATCTCCCAAAAAAATTTCCAATCCATTATCTGCCCTCAATCCTCACCCACTCAGGCTCCTTATAAATGCTCATTCTATATATTATTGTTATTTTTCTTCAAAATTTTTTTTTTGCTACATGTCAGTTTGATCTGCAGAAAGGAGACAAATATGAAATGATGGATTTTGTCAGTGCCTTACTAGAGACTCTCCTGCTACACATCCTCCTATTTTTGCCCACAAAAGATGCCATCAAAACCAGCGTGTTATCCAAAATATAGAAGCCCCTTTGAACCTACCTCCTACGTATCAAAATCCACCGTTCTAATTTCAGCGAGAGTGTGTTTAGCAAAATACGATACAAATCAATGTATAAAACTTTACTGCTATGCAAAGCTCTCAAGCTCCAGAAACTCTCTCTTGATCTTCCACAAGTTTCATCTGGCTCCTTTCCTCACTTATCAAATTGTTGGAAATTGTTACTAAATATCATATGGAGGATTTGTCTCTAAGTTTGTCCAACTTTCAGCTGCCTTAATACTGCTACATGAATTCAGTTTTCTCAAAATTAAGTTTGTGTAATGGCATACACTTACTTGATACCTTGTCTTGGACACCACTGAAGATTTTGAAAATTTTCGTTACTACTATATATGACAGTTTGTTGACAATACTTTTACTTGATTGTCATGTTTTGAGTGTTTAAAGCTGTTTAACTATGGATATAGCGACAGTGAGCTAAATATTACTTTTGGTTCATTGAAAGAGTTGGTGTTACAATCTCCTGGTGGTGAGGAGGGTGAATTTCATATTCGTGCCCCAAATCTTCTGGAGTTAAGCCTGTATGGGTATTGCTTTTGGAGATTTAGATTGATGAATGTGTCATCTTTGGTAGCAGCTGATCACTCCCTTTACAAAGAAGAAGTACCATATGAATATGACGAAAAACCTTAAAAACATAGAGAAGAAGTATCATATATATTTGTGTACATGTAGGAACAGAGATGTATTAAGAGAAAGATAAAGCATTGCACTAATACAAACCTCGTAACATTCACATAAATTGCAGTTGATTGTTAACTTCAACAGGTGAATGGAACTTCGTAGCAACTTTTCTAAACCAGCAAGTATGTACCTTGTGAACCAAGTATGGAGAGTTACACTTATGCACTCTAACAACAGAGTAAGAGAACTTTCCATCTCTAATATTGATAGCAGCTGGAGGAGGCAACAGAAGACAAAAGAATTAGACAATACATTCTGAAACATAGAGATGCATCTATTTAGGCTATGTTTAGAACAAACTTATATTTGTGTTGAATTCATTTATAAATGTGAACTAATGTTAACACAAGATAATAGTATAAATTTAAACTAAAATGATAAAAAAATTTGAGCTCCTCTTATCATCACTTAATAGAAGTTATACTTCTCCTCAATAAACTAAGTGTCGCTTTGCAAATGCATTCTAGGTAATTTGTTCTACAAATAGTCTTAATAAAATATGCATGCGCTATTTATAATCCATCAAGAGGGAGAAAAAAAAACAAAAAAAAAGCCTGCCTAATTAGAGCCTAGAGGAATAAAATGATTTACGATGCTATAATAGATTCAAGTCTATAGAGAAACTTACACGAAGGTAACAAGAGCGCAAACAAAGTTTTTGAACATGACGTAGCTTTTCAAAATAGCCCACTGCCATGTCCTTAAGGTTTCACTCATATTCATATGGTACTTCTTCTCTGCAAAGGGAGAGATCAACTGCTACGAAAGATGACACATCCATCAATCTAAATCTCAAAAAGCAACACCCATGCTAGCTCAACTCTAGAAGATTTGGGACGCAAATCTTAAATTCCCCCTACTCACAACTAGGAGATTGTAACACCAACTTCTTCAACGAACCAGAGGTAATATTTACTTCACTGTCGCCGGATCAGTAATTGAACAGCTTTAAACACTCAAGAACAGGACAGCCAAGTAAAAGCATTGTTAAAAAATTATCATATATAGTAGTAACGGAAATTTTCAGAACCCTCAGTGCTGTCCAAGGTAAGTGTCAGGTAAATGTATGCTAGTACACAAACTCAGTTTTGGGAAAACTGATCATGAAGAAATATTTAGGTAGTTGAAAGTTGCACAAATTTAGAGACAGCTCCTGAACATGATATTTGGCGGCAACTTCCAACAATCTGATAAGGGAGGAAAGGAGCCAGATGAAACTTGTGGAAGATCGAGTGAGACTTTTTGGAGCTTGGGAGCTTTGCATAGCAGTAAAGTTTTGCACATTGATTTGTATCGTATTTCACTAAACACATTCCCGTTGAAATCAGAACGATAGATTTTGATACATGGGAGGTAATTCCAAAGGGGCTTCCATGTTTTGGATAACACACTGGTTTTGATGGCACATTTTGTGGGCAAAAACGAGAGAGTGTGTAGCAGGAGAGTCTCTAGTAAGGCGCTGATGAAATCCATCATGGCATATTTGTCTCCTTTCTGCGAATCAAAACTGACATGGAGGTAATAAAAATTTTTTTTGAAAAAAAAAAATAACCATTATATATAAAGAAAAGCACAGAGGGGTTGCATCCCCTGTATAAAGATATTTACATGGTTAGCAAAAAATCAATAAAGTCCACATTAGCTAACAAAGTTAGGTGTGTCTTTATGTAATTAGCCGTGCATATCACTATAGTTTCAAACCATCAATTATTAAAAAAACAAGCACAACAACAAAAGATTACAGGATAGGTAGAAACTGTTAGCAATGCTTAATCTACTATCCTCGTTCTACTATAAACATAGCAATCTTCACATGCCTTTATCCTCAAGTATTTGTGTAAACATCATATTATTCATCATGTCACACATTCATTCGAAGCCTGGTAAAAACGTGAAAGGGATATTCATTATATCCTCAAAGTAACTGTTTCATGCTTTTATTCACAATCACTGCAAAACTAAAGGACCTAAGGTGAAGTAGATTATACCTATGCTGGTGGCTTGGTGAAAACAAAAGTCCCTTTCTCTTTCTTTGTCTCCTGAAAGATATTTTTGTTCGAACTTTCTGCTCAGTCTCGCTCTGTGGTCGAATGCTCACTCCTGATTTTTTTCTTCTCCTTGTGTTGCTTTCCCTTCTTCTATACACATTTCTTCACATCCAGCTTCTTGGCTTCGCAATCCTCCCACCCTTCTTCCAGTCATTTGCTTCGATTCAGTTATTCGTTTCTGAGATTCTAGCAGGTTCAAAACCGCCTTTCTCTCCTCCACATTTCTGTTATGCCGAGGCGCTTCTGAAGATTCCCTTCACGCGTATTTGGAACGAAGAAGGGAGGCGGTTCTCCGTTTTCTCCAATAGTAAGAATACTTCAAATAAATAAACTTCACCTGAGCACCATGAAAATTGTGTTTCTTGGACTGCTCCTGATTCTTCCACCGCTTCTCACTCACTTAACCCTCTTTGTTCGACCCTCTGCAAGGGGTAACCTTCAGCCGAAGAGGTCGGCTAGGGCTGGAATTTTTAGATAAATTCATGTAAAATAACAATTTTATAATAAATTATTTATTTCATATTAATATTTAATTGTTTAGTATTATTACTCTTTAATACAAAACTTGTTGTAATTTAATAATAATTTCTTAAATATGCTTTATTTAAAAAATAAAATGAAAAGAGTATTATTAATTATTTAATAAAATCAATTATTATTATTAATTTATAGAATCTAAATGACTAAATATGTATAATAATTATATTTCAATTGTTTTTAAAAAATTAAACAAATAACTAATTTTCATCCCCCAGCTATATGACTTATAAGTTTACAAACTACAAATTTTTAAAATATTATTCTAAAAATTTTTAATTTATCACAAATGCATAAAAAAACTAAAATTTTGTAAACTAAAAGATATAAACTTTTTTTAAAAAATATATAACTACACGCTTAAATTAGTATGAATTAATTATAAATATAAATTAATTATTTAAATAATATTTAAGTTAATTTTGTCATCTTTAATCTATCAAAAATAAAAAATATATATAATATTTAAGAATTAATAATCAAGAAATATATTCTAATTTAATAAATTCAATTAACTTTTACATTTCTTTTTTTTCATGATAAGTTGAATAAAAAAGAAATTATCAGGTAATTGAATAAAATATTTCAATATAAGAAGCAACGTTTTTAGAAAGTCTCTAAATGAAATTAAACAGTAATATTCTTCAAATTTTAATTAAAAAAATATTTTGATTGTATAATTTGTTAGAATAATTTTTTTTTTAAATTCGTAAATTTGTAAAAATTAAACATACATATCGTACTGAATTAAAGAAAAATATAAACAGAAGCGTACTTGAATCCATCGCAGAAGATTTGTTCGCGTCCGGCAGTAGGATCTTCTGAATTAACACAACATCTTATAACTAATTTTTTCTGGTGACGAGATTTAAAAAAAAAAAATAACAACCTTATAATTTGAAAATCATAACCACTTTTTATATCGACTCACTTTTACAATTCTCATTTCGCCAATTATAAAATAAAAATATTACAAAAAAATTATTTGCACATTACAAATCCATATTTAAACCTGATGCATTAAGATCCAATATTATTTAACTATATAAGATCACTTTTAAATAAGTCTCTTAAATTGATAGCATGATACGCATACCAATGTTTACATTAAACCCACACGTTAGAAAAAATCTAATAATCTCTCACTTGACCTTTATGTGACACCTTAATTATGCATTAATAACCGTAAGAATATTCATAATTGTGCTATCAATACCTAAATGTATCACCAAATAATCTTGTCCATCAATCATAAAGACATATGATCAAAGTAATTTTCGCTATAACTAAATAACTAAACCCATTAATGGTCACATATATCAATATAACCGAACGACATGGATCAAGCATTGATGTGCAGTATGAAAATTACACACTATGTGATCTAATCATACCTATTTCCAACTGATCTTGCCTTCTCCTTAGTGAGATTAACTGTCAGAAAATTTAGAGATAATAATATATATAAACATAAATGCAAAAAACAAAAACTTAAATGAAACCATCGATACATATACCAAACCAAAGTACATAATTTATGACATATCTTACAAAATAAATGCAACTATGTTACAAGACTCCCATTGGAACTACACATCATTTAGGGATACAATACCTATATGAGAAGTGTGTTCATGAAAGATCTTTGATGGTAATCCCTTAGTGAGCGAGTCTGCAATCATGGAGTTTGTTCTAATGTACTCTATCGATATCTGCTTACTTTGAACTCTTTCTTTAATAATGAGGAACTTAATATCTATATGTTTTAACTTCGTTGAACTCCTGTTGTTGTTGGAATACATAACTGCATATTTATTGTTACAAAACTTTAATGGTCTTTCTATGCCATCAAAAATATGCAGTCTGGTGACAAAATTTTGCAGCTATATTTCATGATTGGATGCCTCATAACAAGCGACAAACTTTACTGTCATAGTAGAAGAGGCTACAAGTGTTTGTTTAGCACTCTTCCAGAAAATAGCTCTTTCAATAAGTAAATATAGTGTGATGTAGATTTTCTACTGTCTTGACATTTGGCAAAATCAGAATCAAAATAACAAATATCTCCAACTGATATGACCTCTTGTATATGAGCATATAACTTTTTATTCTCTATAGATACCGCGTAATATGTTTGACTGCTTTCTAATTATCCATACCTGAATTGCTTAAATATCTACCTAACATTCCAATAATGTACGTAATATCTAGACGCGTACAAACATGTACACACATAAGACTCCCTATAGCAGAAGCATAAGGAATTTTTTGCATCTCTATAATCTCTAAATTATTCTTGAGGTATTGACTTAGAGTAAACTTGGCTCTTTTAGATATAGGGGTGTTTCCTGGTTTACAATCCTGCATGTCAAACCTTTTAAGAATCTTTTCGATATAGCTATTCTGTGATAATCCAAGAATACCTCGAGAGCGATCTCAGTGTATCTGGATCTCTAATATAAAAGAGGCATCCCTAAGATCTTTCATCTCAAATTTCATTGTCAGAAATCTTTTGGTTTCGTGCAATAAACTTATATCACTGCTGGCAAGCAATATGTTATCAACATATAAAACCAGAAAAATATATTTATTCTCACTAAACTTATGGTATACACAATCTTCTACTAAATTCATCTCAAAATTAAACGAGATGATGATTTGATGAAATTTGTGATACCATTGACGGGAAATATGTTTTAGTTCATAGATAATTTTTTTTAGTTTGCAAACTATTTGTTGTGCATCTTCAGATACAAAATTTTCTGGTTGCACTATATAAATTGTCTCATCAATGTCACAATTGAGAAATGTTGTCTTAACATCCATCTAATGTAACTCAAGATCAAAATGTGACACTAAAGTTATTATAGTCCTGAAAGAGTCTTTCAACAAAACTAGAGAGAAAATCTTTTTATAATCGATGTCTTCTTTTTGTATAAAGCCCTTAGCGACAAGACGGGTCTTGTACCTATCCACATTACATTTCGAATCTCTCTTGGTCTTAAATATCTATTTTCAATTATTAAGTTTCGCATCCTTAAGTAATGAGACAAAATTCTAAACGTCATTGTCCTTCATGGACTTTATCTCTTCATTCATGACATCAATCCACCTATGAGAGTTAGAACTTTCTATGGCTTGATAGAAGTTGATATGATCATCTTCTACCGTGCCAATATCAAACTCATGTTCTTGGAGATATACAATATAATCATCTAGTATTGCACTTCTCATCTCTCTTGTGGATCTCCTTAATGGCATAAGTTTTTGAGGGTGTGAAGTTTGTGCTTCAAGAATAGTTTCCTAAATAAGAACGGGAGATACTATGACATTGTCTTGATTTGGAGTTGCTTCTTAAACAATAGTAGGTATAAGAACCTGATCCTGATCATTGTCAATAGCACATAAGGAAATAAGAATATTGCCCATTCATCTTCAAAAACAAGGTCACGAACTCTTTCTCCCCCTGCAAACTCAATATCTTCAAAGAACTAAGCATTTTTCGTCTAAAAAATTATCTTAGTAGTGGGATCATAAAACTTATAATCCTTATATCCCTTAGAATAACAAACAAAATAACAACTAATAGTCTTGGAGTCCAGTTTATTTTCTTGTGGCCCATAAGGTCTAACCTCAGCTGGATATCTCCAAATGTGCAAATGTCTCAAACTAAACTTCTGACTCGTCCAAAGCTCATAAGGGGTCTTTGTAGTTGCTTTAATTGAAACTCTGTTGAGTAAATATGTTGCGGTCTTTAATACTTCTTTCTAGAGTGATTCAAGTAAGGTAGAATGACTAATCATACTCCTTACCATATCCTTAAGTGTTCTGTTTTGCTTTTCAACAACATAATTTATGCTAGGAGAACCTGGCATGGTGTACTGTGGGACGATACCGCATTCCTCTAGGAATCGAGCAAATAGTCTTGGACACTATTCACCTGATCCGTCAGATCTAGTATAGTATTCACCACGACGATCAGATCTAACAGCCTTAATCATTTTGTTAAGTTGATTCCCAGCTTCTACTTTAAAATTTTTGAACACATTTAGGGACTGAGACTTCTCATAAATTAAATATAAGTATCCATATCTTGAATAATCATATATGAACATTATGAAATATTGTTGATCATTCCAAGAAGCCGTAAGGAATGGTCCACAAATATCTGTATGAATGAGTTCTAATATGTTCATAGCTCTGTTGGCACTTAATCTCTTAAGATTTTTTTGTTTCCCCTTGATACAATGAATACATCTATCAAAATTTGAAAAATCAAGGGGATCTAGAATTTCATATGACACAAGTTTCTCAAATCTCCTTTGAGAAATGTGACTAAATCTCTTGTGCTATAAAGAAGTTGAATCCTTCTTGTTTAATTTTCTATTTATACCTCTTTTACTAACATGTAAGGATTCATTATAAGAAGCAATTGTATTAAGCAAATAAAGATTATCATGTACTGATAAAGAACCAGAACCAACCAGATTTGAATTAAGAAAAAAACTAAAATTTTCACTTCCAAATGAATATGAATAGCCAAATTTCTCTAATACAGAGACTGAAATGAAATTTCGTCTAAATGACAGTATAATAAAAGTCTCTTCTAAATCTAAATAAAATTTAGTTCTTAACAACAATCTAAATTTGCCAATTGCTTCCACCTCGACTAGTTTGCCATCGCCAATATAAATGAATCTGGCATCATCACTTGGCTTGCAATAATGGAGGCAACCTTGCATAGACACATTGATGTGAGTTGTGGCACCAGAATCTATCCACTAGGTATGTGTAGGTAAAAAAGTTAAATTAACCTCAGAACAAACAAAATTAAGAAGCATACCTTTCTTTGCACGCTACACATGATAATTAGTGCATTGCTTCTTTTGGTGTCTCGGAGCTTTACAGAAAAAACAAA